TCCAGGGAGAGACTCTTTGGTACAAGAGATTAGAGCGGCTGCTGCCTAGCAACTGAATAAAAATGGCAGCTACAAAAGGGGCGCACTCACTCTACCGCGTCTGACCTACATAATCCCAAGCCTCTGATCGTGCAACATAACAACATGATGAAAGGCCTGCTGTGATTTAACCCTCAAACAAATACTTGCCATTGCTGACCCTCTCGCTCAAAGGCCCATCTCACCCGCCGCCGAACACCAAAGAGTGACTTCTGAAATCTTGACGTGCCTAATTAGAAAGGAATCAGAGGAGCTGCATCAGAACACTATTGAAAATGAGATGAATGTGTTTGAGAAGATGGCGGCGGAGTGGCAAAGGAGATTAGCTGTGATCAGAGCAATGGTGTTGGCTTCAGAGAGATGGAGCGCGAGCGGCGGAACCTCCCTCTGTTCAGCGATTCATCTTCAGCCATGAGCAGACGAATGAGTACGGAGGCACGAGGAGCTTTACGGCCCTGTCTAATGCTTATTGATCAAAGAACATGGGAAATCACTGAGAAGACGATACTGTAAAAAGCAGAAACTTTTGGTAACTTTTGTCACTCTGTGTAACTCACAGCTGTGACCTCCAAAAGCTTGTTCCTCCTCATTACTTCGATAATGACCTTGCAGCTGCAGACGTGATAATTCAGGACAATTATAAATATTTGTGGACATTGGTCATCGCGCTCCGTATGGACCAACGGCTCATGTGGGTTTTTATTTTCATCAAATCGTATGTGATGAGTTTCTGATCTGATTTTAATACTGACACAAGTCTCCATCTTGACTGCATGTAGGCATTTCCACATCTGATCATTGCTCATTCAGAACTGCAATCTGTCTTGAAAAAAGAGAGATTTAACTATTTACTACAGTGTAAAGGTGGGCAGAAGTGAAAGAGGAAAGTTTATCAAAAAGAACCAGGCTTTATTCATTCATAAATATCGCTTGTTGGTTTGGATCACAGCAGAGAGGGTCAAACCTTTTACATTTTGGAACCATATATTCAGCATAAAACAAGAAAACAGGGACTGACTGATTGGGATTAATTGTTAAAAAAATGAATTATATAAAATAAAAAAAATCGGAATCTTGCAACGTTTTAGTTTTGATGATCGAACGACTCAATTCACCTCCATCCATCCATTCATCCAAATAAATAATGAATAATCTTTATAATGTTTATTCCTTCAACATATGAATATATTAATATGCTATAATCGTTCCTTTCCGTCCTATTGTTTATTTTACTTTATTTTTTTTCTCCTGATCTTGAAATTTAATTTGGCTTCTATTTTGAAAGGGTTTTGCCCATAGACTGTATATATTACTTTGGGGACTTTACTTAATGAATTGAATTAGGCAAAAATAAATTATACTTCAGCTTTAATGCCTTTTTAATGTCAAAAAAATAAACAGAACTACTACCACTAACCAAGCCACTCAAAAAGTTATTTTGGGACATTAAAAATGAGAGAAAAAACATGATTTAATTTGTGTTCTTTAGGCAAATGCATGTGATTTACTGCATGTGAAGAGACACTGGCTCAAGTTTAGTAATTAGGGATTTAGTAATTTCTCATTTAAAATACAAAACCTGCACTACAAACAATTGTTGAGTTGAATCAGGGCTTTGCTTGTCTGCCCAGTTTGTACATTGTTCTCCGCAATAGAACCCTAATTTATGTATTTACTTTCTCCCACAAACACCTTTTAGAGCCTTTTTTGTTTAGGTTTAGATCTGGATTTCTTGATTTTGTTGGAGCACAGTGTTACAAATGTATAAATAATACATAACCTATAATATTGTAGGTCCCATAATGCAGTCTGCTGTAACGGAAGAGACGGCGTTGGCATATTTTGTGTCTGATGAGAGTCCGGTTGCAGAGAGAGGCTGGCTGTGTGAACTCCAGTGCTCTCTGACTGGAGCATTTTCATGGAAAGCATCTCTTTAGGGGTTTGCAGGTTTTCAATGCGCTCATTTACACATCAAAACCGCACAGGAAAGGGATAGTGCTCAGAGCAGGGAGGGTGAGCGGGCCAATGAGGGATGCTTTATTTTTTCTTTTTTTCCCTCCAGGGTGGGCAGGGGTTTCAGTCTACGAGGGCGCATTGATGCCATAATGATTGGCTTTAATCAGACCCATGACCAGATGGAGGGGTTTCTCCTCCGCAGACAAAACCAAGGAGTCAGCAGCTTATATTGGATAACAGCCGACACCTTTTAACAATAATTGGACTCAACAAATAGACTTGTCTGAATTGTTTCGTGCTTGGCAAATATATAGATTCATATGATCACAGAAGAATAATCTACAAGTGAAAGTTTAGTTTGTCTTGTATTGATCTTCGTTGGTCGTTATGTGGCCCTCTTTGACCCACTGTACCCATAAAGCCAGGGAAGAAATACCAGTTCAGACACCCAGCCAAACAGACATTTTTCTGCTGTGACTGAACGGACTTATTCCTTAAATGTTGACATAGTTGTGCGATGGGGTGGGGTCAGTGCACTGGGTAAGTTTACTGTAGATTGAATAGTGAGTCTACAGCTTTTTTGACCACAGGTGTATATGGAAGGTGTTCTATGACGCCAAAGAGACCACATGTTTCTGGAACCAAACATCATTTTGACGTCATCTAAAGCATTTGTTTGTTTGAATCATACTTTGTGATTAAAAGTGGACGGAATGTTTGTTTTAACATGATATTCCTTTTGATATCTAAAGCAGATAATGACCAATTTCAGTCTTATAAGTAGAAAGGTTTCAAAAATAATTCCTGTGAGAATGGAAAGGAAAGACAAACTTGCCCTGTGTCCTTAACCCGGTGCTGCTGCCTCTTCTATCTAATCAATGTGGTTAGCACAGATGGAGCAGGCTGCTTTGTGTCCCACACAGCCCATGATTGGCCTCTGTGGGTCATGTCACTAGAGTATGAACTGTGAAGGCAGCACGTGCCACTTCTTCAAGCATCCATGAACTGGAATATGTGGCCAAAAACACCACCAGCCGAAGGGGCCGGCTGCAGGAAGCATGCGCCAACACAAACACTGCCTTTTTCTGCTAAATATGATCCGTACGGTGTCAGAGTCCAGGACTGGCTGTGCTCGCCTGCCAAGCCATGGACAATGTCTACAATGGCTGCGTAATGAAAACACAAACGGGAGGGAGGATGTTGGTAGTTAATTCACACTGTGTTCGAAAGAAGGAAGGAATAACTAATTTGAGTTAACTGAGGCGTTGCATGGGTCCACAGAACAGAGTGGAACCGCTGTCAGGATTATCCGGACCTGATATACTAGACTTTGATTTATTCTGATGGAGGTGTTGTTAATTAACCCGGAGATTTGTCCGAATTTTATCTGAAGCAGACAAAAGATGGAGCCCTGACTGTTAATAAGAGATAGAGGACTTATATTAACAATAGATAAATAAAGTTTAGAAAATAATTTCATCAAACGAACAAACATTTGAGGGAGACCAGGCGGGTGCATAACTTTGGTGCCTAAAAGTAGTATAATGAGACTGATGGAACCATGTTATCTGCAGTGCGCACACATCCCCTTATGCCGGGACACCAGCAGCAGCTGTCTTAAAGCCACGGTCGTCGTGGTCCTCTTTCCATCTCGTCACGAAGCACCACGCGCAGCTATTGCACAGGATGTAATAATAACCCGTCACCTCTGCACACTGTCAAACTCATTCCCAGAGTCCTGCTGCAAAATGACTTGCAGTGCGTGGCTGCAATTTAAGTTGGCACTTCAATTGTAACTGTCCCGTAATGTAAAAGCTATTTATTTTCACTCGTTTATGGACCATGTGAGTACACGGTGACTCTGGTGCATCATAAAAAGTGAATGCTGGCTGCGAGATGGAAACTGGGCTGTTTATTTAATGAATGAAGAATTATGCTATGCAGGTTTGAGTCTGAATCATCAATCATTTATAGTAGATTATTCATGGCACATTGTTCCAGAACTTGTTACTGAGCCTGAAAACTGAAAATATGAAATAAAATGAAGCTATCACTTGAAGCACTAAATGTCCTAAAATGAAAATGCCAGGATCTGATCAAAGTTATAAGTCAGACCAGAACTAAACGTGAATAGTTTTTATTCTAGCTTGGTTTTTAATCCTCTCCTCGATGAATAGCCGGCCTGAAGTGCCTGAGCTGCTCTCAAAGCTGTCAGTGAAACCATGCAATAGGGTTGAAATCCACTTCAGATTTGTCCTCTTACATCAAAGTGCAGGGTGTTTGCACAGGGATCAAATGGAGCAGCAAGAGGGCAACAGCACTGATGCTGGGCCACGGATTAAAACAGTCATTCATGAAATATATTTCAACGCAAACTGCCTGCGCATGTTAAAGATGGTGATGCAAACAGTAATACTGCTGCGCTTTGTCACTCCATTCATCAGCCATTCTCTTTGAGGATTATTGTTGGCACCGCCTCTGGGAAAGCGCATGCTACCTGAATGCTACGGTTTCTGCACAAAATAAAGCATTCTTTGTGACAAATATTAATCCCACATTTGTTATCACAGACAATAACACAACACAAAATTAATAAACAATAATCCACAATTTATTTTTTCTAAATGCAAGAACTTTGTTCTTATAAAAGGCACTTTTCCCTTGAGCTTTAAACTTCAACAAAAGCACCTAAACATTGCCAAGGGAAACTTAAATTAAATATATTTACAATAAATAACACATTTATACATTTTTACAGTTAATCATGCCTCCAACTATATTTCCCTTTATAAAGAATAGGTTATCTTTTTTGCTACACTGGGCAGTAGACCAATACTGCACAAAACCACATGGAAATAATGCATAACAATACTGAACACTGGTGCAATAAATGCTGTTAGCTTCTCAATGCCTGTAAATTTGTCCCTTCATGACAGCAGCAGAATAAGAGCTTAATTTGAGTTTGTCCATTCACAGAGCAGCTCCAGAGCAGCTCCGGAGCATCCTCAGACGTGTGTGGGGCTGTCTGAGTGCAGCTCAGTCTTTGCCATGTGCAGGACCACAGCAGGAGACTTGTAGTGGCACTGAGTACTACTGCAGCTCACACTGTTGCATGGCTTTCTGTTACTAGTCCTGTCAGTCAGCTTTCTGCTGCACAGGCCCTGCCAGGTCTGCAGGGTCTTGGAGCTCCAGACCCACACTCCACTAGTGATGCCCACCACCAGAGACATAAAGATCTTCAGCATGAACACTGCCACAGTGGGCACAGAGCTCTGCAGCGAGCAGTCACTGTTGTGGCTGTTAAAAGAGCCACACTTCATTTGTCGTCCTCTGAGCTTCCAGTAGTCCATATTGAGTCTTTCATAGAAGTAACAGACTATCACACATGTGGCTGGCACTGTGTACAGGATGGAGTAGATGCCAATTTTCACCATGAGTTTCTCAAGCTTCTCTGTGTTGGTGCCCTCAGTTTTCATGACTTTGCGAATGTGGAAGAGAGCCACAAAACCAGTGAGAATGAAGGAGGTGCCGATGACCAGGTAACAGGACAGAGGTATAAGGACAAAGCCTGTCAATGCCCCGGGGTCCATGCTGCCCACATAGCACAGCCCTGTGAGCTCGTCCCCTGCCACCTTCCTCATAGTGAGGATGATGATGGTCTTCAGTGCAGGGATGCCCCACGCTGCCATGTGGAAGTAGTTGCTGTGAGCCTCTATAGCCTCATGACCCCACTTTTTCCCTGCAGCCAAAAACCAGGTGAGGGTTAGGATCACCCACCAGATGGATGAGGCCATGCCAAAGTAGTACAAGATGAGGAAGACGATGGTGCACCCCGTGGACTCCAGCCCCTCCTGGATGATGTACAGCTCTCCTAATTCACGGTCACACGCTATATTCTCAGCACCAGCCACGGAGCGAATGATAAAAGCCACAGAGTAGACGTTATAGCACATGGAGAGGAAGATGATGGGTCGCTCAGGGTACTGGAATCTGTGTGGCTCCAGGAGGAAAGTCAGGACAGTGAATGCAGTGGAGACAAAACACAGTATGGACCACACTGTCATCCAAATAAACGCAAAGTCCTTATCCTGCTTGGACCAGTACACATCCACAGCAGGCGAGCAGCGAGGGGCACAGGACTGGCTCTTCTCAACAAACTGGAACTTATCAGGGTTCTCACAGGAGCCCATGCTGCCGGGAGAGCGGTTAGTATTGGCCCCGGTTTGGCGAGGGCGAGGGAGTGGAAGCATGCCCTCTCCCTTCTTGCCCTCCACCACCCTGGTCTCATTCTCTGGAGCTTCCATGCACAGCGCGTTGGGGTCGTTCCTGGTGGGCAGCTTGGAACAGTCCAGCGAGTCTGGCCAGGTGTAGCTAAACTTCTTCATAATAGGGGCACATCTCTCCCGCGCCTGCTCACACATGGGCCTGCAGGCGGGGATGGAGGTTGACACTTTGTCCGTGCACATGGGGGCGTAGAGAGAGCAGAGGAAAAAGCGGAGATGCACGTCGCAGCCATACGCCACAAGAGGAGCAAATTCATTCAGCTTGATCTCCGCTTCTTTCTGGTTATCGTGGTTCATGAAGTTGGGCATTCGGGTCAGGTTGTAGCCGATCCCTTGGCACATGGGGATCACGATGGGCTCGCACTTCGCTGGTCTGTCGCGTTCCAAGTCGTACGAGCCGATCTCAAACGAAAAGCCAGACATCACCAGCGCGCACCACAGCAGTATTATCACATTTAAGGGGCAGCCATCCAGGCCCATGGTTGGTGTAGGCATGAAAAGAGTCTATGGGAAGTTGAAACGGTCACAAACACGGGGTCGCTTACACCATTAGCCCCGGATTCCCCATTGCGTTGGCAGCTCCACGCGTCAATCCAAAAGGCAGCGTTTGAAAACAATGACAGAAAACGCAATAGTTCCGATGGACGTGCGTGTGGAATAAAGTGTACAAGTCCAACAAAAATGGGTTACGCGCGAAGACAGTTTTGAAACTTCAACCGATCCTGAAGTTGAAACATGTAAAACAGTTCAGTCCAAAGCAAGACCGTCGCGTAACGGGAGCAACATACGTGCGTAAAAGGGGATGGCTGCGCTGCTCCAAAATTGTGGTTAGAATGATCTGTCTGCGTTCAGGCTCGGGTCGACACTGAAGTTAGAAGAGCTGCTCTGTGGGACTAGAGTCGCAGGGAGAGGGGGGAGAGGGGAGAGGGAGGAGAGAGGAGAGAGGGGGGGAGAGGGGGGGAGAGGGGTGGGTGGGTGGGCGCTCCGTGACGCGCACACTTTCCCTGCTCACCAAAGACTAATAATCATAGGTCTATTTGGGATAATGTACAGGGCTAATGCTGCGTGATTGCACTTATTATGCAATTATTATTAGTGGTGTGATCTACCATGAATAAGCCACAAAAAGGGCCATTTCTGATAAATTACTTTCAATTCTTTACTTTATTTAAGAAATTCAAAGTCATACTGTGGAAGTGTTCGTTCTTGTTCTCTGGCTTTTGTATTTGTCCTTTCAACTGCCATTCAGAGCATTGACATGTGTTGAAAGATGTATGATGGAAATGACTGACGACATATATTTAAATGAACCAATCTGTCTCTAATAACAGTCTGCATTGCAAAAGCTAAATACAACCATTGTTTCCTAAACACATTGTAAATTCTGGGGAACAAATTGTTTAATTTCCTTCCCCTCCTGCCAAACCCAGAGCAGTTTATTTTTCTCCTGTCCTGTTGTTGAAAGTAGCCCACAGTTTGAGTAAAATGATAGTCCCAGCGGCATTGTTCTGTTGCAGAGTCATAATGGATCTGTCATCATTAGTGCTAATGTTTTGATCATATAATTCTTCTGCAGCACATGATCAACACAAGAATGGAGGCTTGTTCTATAAAGTTATGTTTATCAGATGCTAACAAACATCTCTAGAGTTAGATATTATGTTTAATTTCAATTAGTATAGAGTTATTGTTCATTTATCTCGTTCTGTGTGCTCCTCAATCCTACTGTTCTGTAACTTGTGATGCAAAACGGAAATTTCCCCCGCTGTGCGAGGGAAATTCTTGTGTGCGACGAATAAAGAATCTCTTAATCTTAATTTTAAATGAAATGGTACAAATTTATTCAATTAAGTGCTCTTTATTTACAAAACATGAATACAAGTCCATACACTTTACTATTTCCTATGATTTGTGAGGAAACCGCAGCTGCATTAGCTATAGAAAACAAAAAAGTGACAATTTTTACATTTATAAATTAATCCCTAAACAATATTCTAAACGTTTTGCCCATAATATGATGTTTTTTCTCTACAGCCCTAACCCTCCCTCCGTCTCCGCAGGTACAATGCCACTTGGAGGGTTGATGGTGGAAAGAATCATGCAGCCAGAAAGCTCTCCCTTTGATGGTCAGGTCCTTGCTTTGATTCACACACAGACAAATGGTTCTTGCCCAAAGAGATGATTTGAACATTTAGGGTTAAGTAGCAGAATACACATCATTCGTGCAGTAAATGAGTGAAGTGAGTGTGTGTGCAGAGTGTGGGGCCATTGTTTCCATCTAGCGGCTAAATGAGGAGGGTATGCGGCCCCACAGCTGTTGCCTTGAGCATTTGATCTTTTGTCGAACGGGGCAGGAACTCGAAGATTCTGGCCTCTCGCCCCACAGAAGTGCACTGGGCTGTCAACTGCATACTATCTCTATTAGCCCCTGTGTTTAAACTGTCCGCTCAGGGCACTTTTGCACTTGTCCGCTCTGTGAATGGCGGTGTTGTCTCCACATGAACCAGTGCCAACATACTACCAACAAGTATGCAGAACACAAGCTGCATCCTAGATTTGACCACTCAATTACACAGAGCATGCCTCCAGAGATTTAGATAAAAAGTGAATACCACCCAGTCAGATAAATGTCCACATGTAGTCCAGTTGTCAGCTGAGATTAGCAACCGTAAAAAAGGCTTCCTGTACAAGAATATGAAAGATTGTCGTTTGATAAGGCACTGGGTGTTATAGCGGCGCAACATGACCAACTTTAATGCTTGAATGAAGGTTTAAGGGACAGTATGTAATATTGTCCCTTTATATATACTGTATATAATCTGAAGTCATGCTGCCACACTGACTCCTCCCTCTTCACTCCTGTACCTGAGCTCAACATCAGCCTCAGCTGCTCAGTAACACACCTCTGCTCATCACTTCATGGCTGCATTTAATCAGAGCTCTCTGCAGCTTAAGCAGCTGTTCGAGCAGCAACCCTTCTCCTCCCCATCACCGGCTCTTCTGTGGAGTGTCATGTCATGTCTTCGGCTAAGCTCCTTTGCCACCAAGTCTAGGCCCCGGGGGTTGCAAGCCCATCATTTGAACTCCCTTCTGCATACATCATGTAGTATTCCTGCTAGGGTTTAATTGCCAAAGCATATCAATAAATATTATCGTATTCATGCATTTATCCAATCCGAGGGCTGAATAAATCTCTAGTTTGCGTTTTCATTTTTAGGTAGTTTTGGCTCTATCTTTTATCATATAACAATCTTCACACATTTGTTTAAATGTCTGCAGATCTAACGTTAAATAGTCATGTGTAGCACTGTACACATGTCTAGCTGAACTCCAGCAGGTGGATTGCATCAGTAATCTATGCTCAGAATGTGTCACAGATACTACATACACTGTTTCTCTGAATAAACAATTAATCAATTGCAAAATACACGTACAACTCTGTCATTTATTTAGGCAGAATGTAAGTCATTAGAAAAAGGCTTGTGCCAAACTTTCCACCTAAGTCAAGTCATTAAACACAAATGCTAATACTTATAAAACTCTTATTTTTCTCCTCTGAAGTGTCACTGCTGCCTCTGTGCAGCCTTTACGATTCTTTGACCTTAACAAAGGGACCTTGAGTGTGTGCACATTTATCAGATCTCAAAAAAACGTCATTGAATGTGGTGAAATTCCAGACGATCATATCTCACTGTACGTCACCACCGAGACTCAAATCACAACTGCTTTTGATTCTGCTCCGTTTTAAATCCACAGATTGGCACAGAAAGGCGCATTTAGCAACTTCCAACAAATACCTTAAAGGGAATTTAGATTTCAAACAACAGCAACACACCCATGACTTACAGGGGGTTGTCTCTCCCAGTGCAGAACTTTCTTTACCCAATATCTTACTTAGTGCACCTCTAAAGAAAGGTGAATTCTGACGTCATCAATCAACCAAACTGTCTTTAGCACTGTGTATTTTCACTGTAGCCAGTTCCAAGTTAGAAATGTCCACAGATGACATAATCCAACATCTGTGATAAAGTGAGTGAGGGGGCTTCCATCCATCATTTGTCCTGGCATTGATCCCACCTCCACATTGGCCTTTTTGTGTGAGGTTTGCATGTTCTTCCCGTCTCTGCTCCGGTTTCCTCCAGGTGCTCCGGTTTTCCCTCCACTTAAAAAGTATACAATAGGTCTGAATGGAAGGAAGGAAGGAAGTGTGTAAGTGTGTAAGTAAGTCAGTAATGTTTATTGATATAGCACATTTTACAGACCAAGGTCACCCAAAGCACTTTACAATATTCAGAAATCATAAAGTGCTTTGCGTGACCTTGGTGTGTGAAAAGCGCTCTATGGAGATAACTTTCTTACTGACTTACGACTTTCCTTTGCCTTGTTGAGCCTGAGACGAGAGAAGTCGTTCAGAAGACGAACCAGAGGAGAGCGGGGCATAATGTTCAAGTTTTTTATCACTCAAAGAAGAAATAAATAATATCTCTGAGACAACAAGCAGAAAGCTACCCCCGAAAAGTCCGAAAAGCTGTGCAATGCGTATTTCACCTCACTCGTTTAAAGGGTCATTGGGGAGAGCGAGTGAGAGTGTGCCCTTAGAAGGCCTTCCATTACCACCACAGAGATACTGTATCTCTGCAAGGTTGGACGCATTAGTGTCCGAGGCGCTCCGAGGAAAAGCGCCAGTGCAGTGTTGCTGTTGGAACACTTGGCACTAAGCGGCTTCTTATAAACAAGGGTTAAAGTGGGAGACCATGCTAATTATTTACACTAGACCATATCCCATTTGGACATTGCGGTAATTCCATATTCTGTTCTGAGCATTCCTCTGGCCACGTCCCCCACATATCAATACCATTATGTTGCTTATTAGTTCAGGAGACTGGAGGTCTGACCGCACCGCCGCACTTTATCACCCATAACTACAATACAAGCCTATTGTGCTCCCCTAGTGCGCTTTTATTACATCTCTAATTATGTAATTTTATTCTTGTCCTTAACAGTGCTCGGTGAAAGACCAGGAATATTTGCAGCCGACTGTTTGATTTTGCTGGCTGAGAGGGGATTTGCACAGAGCGGATCAGCACAGTTTACTTTGCAATCGAGAAGAGAGAGCGGTTGTGTGCTGTTTATTGCTGCTTTATGTTTTGTTTTTCTTTTTTTCGGCACACAATACTGCCATGTGCCAAGTCTTTGTATTAGCTGGCCTGCTTGAAAAACCCCCTGCATCTTTTATTTCACGCATTTGTCAAGTAATTGGTGGAGTGTGGGCCTTGTAATTACTACCTCTTACTTGTTGGTTATCAAATATCCGAAACAGAGCGATGGGAGGCTCTTACTACAGGGCTTGACATATTACAGTGGGTTGTTATGAGTGCAACTGGAGACAGCTCATACTTAGTCACTGCATCTGGACCTGTGACCGCTTTGACAGGGAGCAGAAAGGGGAATTGTTCGAGGCGTGGATCATGTAATTATGT